CTCTATAGGTATAATGATGGTAGTATTCCCTCCACTGCGACTGCTGATGGTAATGCACTCACATTATCCTCCCCCTCAGTTGATGACAGTGGTAATTACACATGCTCATTCAGAAATGCTTCGTATACATTTGCACTAATGATCAACCCAGCACCAACAAATTCTGTTCCAGATACATATACTGTACATGTACATGTACTCTTTGTAGTCTTGATAGTGATAGGTACATGCTACTATTCTCTCTCTTTTCCATAGTTTTTATCATCATAGCTGCCACTATTGGTACTATTTTGTTAATACTAATGGTAGGAGTTGCTGTGAGCATGGTGTACTTATATGCACATATGATACATAACAAAAAAGGTAATAATAGCAATGCAGTTAATGTACATATAATGCTAACTGTATAATCATAGTTATAGGTAAATCAAATACTTCCTTAACTACACAAGATACGCCATCTGCACATGATGAAACATAAAGAAGAATTAGACTCTTTTTATTAGTTTAATGATGATGATAATTATTATTCATGAATGTTAAGTCAAATCTAGCCCTGCCTACAGAGGAATGTTATATGCATGCATACCAGTAATATTTAAGCTGGGTGCAGCCAGAGGTGCAGCGACTTGACAGAGTTAAGAGAGGTCAAAGAAGTCTGTGGTTTGCAGAGTGTCCTCCTCTAAAAGTTTCCAAGGATGTTGCTCGTGTCTCTGTTATTATTAGCTCTTTCTTTGGGTAAGAAGATTTAAAGTGACTTGCTATTGGTAGTTTCTCTTTTCAGGTCTAGCCCAGGCACAGTGCCCTCCTAATGTAACTTCTGTCTTTATACTTAATGATAGAACCATTAATGTTCCACTCACAGAGCCATTGTGTCTCCAATGCAGATTTCTTGATATTCAGACTGGCAACTTTCTTACATTCTCTGATGGTGTATGGAGGAAGGGTAGTGATGTGCTAAATGATGATGGCAATATTGATATATCATCAACAAGCAATCCTTCTACAATAATCCTTTTTATGACCAATCCTGATGCTGTTGTTAATGTTAATGATGCTTTGACATGCGCTTCACCATCAACTAGTCAACATATCGTTACACTTGGACCATTTAGTAAGCTAATGTTATACCTTAAGCCTATTTGCGTCTACTAATTTTAGCGAAATCAGCAAAAGTAATGTTTAGCATTACTAATTTTAGCGTTTTTAACCAAATTAACTATAAATAATAACCATTATAATGAATAATAATTATTTTGGCGTCTATTTAATTTAGCGGTTTAAAGCTCTCTCGCTAATATAGCTAAATTTAGTAGACGCTGAAAATAGTAGGCTTAAGGTATTATAACTGAATTTTTCTAGTATTTATGAATCCAACTGTATCTCCTAATGGTACAGTTGATG